CCCCCGCTCATTAATACACCGCCTGCTCTCAAAATAACTGCAAAACATCTGAATTGAGGCTCATGAAGGAGCTGAATGAAAACGGGATCCACCTCCGAAGGATCACTGGGGTATGTAAATATCCATCATATTATGGGGTAATTGTATGGCTTTTGCCATGCAGTTTCACAGACAGGTGTGTGTGTGTGTGTGTGTGTGTGTGTGTGTGCTCTTCCATTTTCTTTTCACAGCCGATACAATGGGGGGAGTTGTTGGCATTATTCCAGCGTGTGAGGGGCCGACACAATGGGCGAGCAGCAGTCTGTCGGGCTGCACGGGCAACACATGAAATGAAACCACACACACACACACACACACACACACACACAGACATGCATGTGTAGATAAAGCAGGGTCAACACATGTGTCTCAAAAAAGGTGCATAATCTGCATTACATGCAAAACACTGTGCTGTTATTTTGTCAGCGAGTCAAAGCGATGACATGACATCACACCGGTGACACGTGGTGGACCCCTGGGGGGGGGGGAGGAAACACACACACACACACACACAAGAAAAGTCAAAATATAGAGGCAGAAAAGGTCCTTATTCAACAAACAAAAGCGTCACTTATAAAAAGGTAAAAAGAAGTTTAAGCTTTTAATTTCTGTTTGTTGTTCTGCTCAAATCACTTTGCAAGAAAAACACAAAGGAAAAAAGGAGAAAAGGATCCAACTCAACAGGGTTAAGTTCCCCAACCGTAAAGTTAAGGTGTATCAATTAACAACACATAATTAAAGAAAAAGAAAAATCTTCACAGTTTAGGAGAACTATAAAGCAGATGAAATCAGAGACAAAGACAGACCACTGACCTGTGGCTTCATTAAAGGGAACGTGAAGCACCGTAACACACACATGCACACAAAACACCTCTGGAAGTGTCTTAATCGGGAAATGATTAAACTCTCTTCTTCCCTGTTTATTCGTTAGTCGACAATTAGCGGCTCAGGATCCACATTGTGCGCCTCGCCTCCTTCGAACGGCTGCACGCTCGTTCCTCCGGGCGGACGCCCAGATCTGCTGGGGGGGGGGGGCGTCCAGCGACGGAGGAAGTGCTCGTGTCCCTTAGAGGAGCAGCACAGGTGAGCGTGTTGAACTGAGACATTTTAATGAATAAGAAACGTTTCATGAGGTCTTATGTGCTGTGTGAGTTTGTAATGTAAGGAAACATCATGTTTATTAAGTTAAGTATTTCTCCAGGACCCTTTTCTTCATCGGGGGGGGGTTTAGGCCTCGTTCCACATCTGTCACAACGTTCATTTAGTAAATGATGGTCCATTCAGTCAAGTTTTACTCCAAACGCGAGAAACCAGAGAGAGAAAAAACAACAACAACAACAAAGTGTTTCTAATCTGCTGGAACCCCAGAAAGACGTTTAGGACTCAAACCTCCACCGTCCTCCACAGCAACACCGCCTGAGAGCCGCTGTGCACGCGTGTGCGTGTGCGTGTGTGCGTGTGCGTGTGCGTGCGGCAGCCTGCCGCCCTACGGGGGTCCAAGTGAGTGTGAACTGCATTCGTTCCCACAGCTGCCGTTAACAGACGGAACAAACAGCCTCTTGCTAATAAAGTGAATAAATAAATAGCGCTTAAGAGGCTCCGCGTCGACCGGAGCGACGAGAAGACGACGTCGGGAAGTTTGTTCTTTTGCCGTTTTCTGACATGGTGCTGCGACTCACGTCATTAGAACGGTGGAGGCGATATTCTGTATTGTTGTCTGGGATAAAAGCTTCCGGTCTGCGGCTCTCATTGGTTCATTATTACATCTGCTTTTTATTTCTGTATTTATCAGTTTTAAAATCAATGAAACGATTGTATTCTTGCGAGTTAAAAATAAAGCTGCCTTTCTTAAAAAGGCTAAATAATAATAGAATTAATTCAGCCGCATCGATTAGTCAACTACTCGATTAATGAATCAGCAGCTCAGGCTTTAAATGGACGACTTTCACAGGTAATAAAGTTTAATAAGACGCTCACCTTTAATATAATATCATTGTTCATAACAGCACCCACTATTAAAATATTTTTAACTACTTATAAAATATTGGACTAAAGATTCACAGACCGAAGTCCGGCAGCCGGGACGGACATTTGTTTGTGTTGTAATGAAGCAATTGATTTATAGACTTATTAATATCTAATCGAGTGTCTGTCAATCATGTTGCGTTCTTATGTCGTCACAAGTTATGATTCACCATCAACAGCTGTCAAACATCTGTATGGTGCTTCCGTTTTTGAGTTTTTGAGGGACGATTCAGCCGACAGTGAAGGTCAAGGGTCAGTTCTTCTCCAGTGTTTTGGGAAATGAAACAATGATGATTTTAACAGTTGATTTCTTCCAAAAGGACTCGCTCCATTTAAATAATCGATAATCAGCAAACACGAAATTTCAACGGTCAAAATATTACGCAGCTTTTTTATTCATGACTTTTTTATTTCTATGTGGCCTCACTACCAACGGGCACATTTTGGAGATATTAAACAGAAACGAAAATATTAATAAGACTTTTTATTATTATTCATACATTCTTCAGATGCTCTTACGGACAAAAATTCCATTCAATTCAGGCGTCGCTGGGAAGCAGAAAACCTCAGAGGATAAAACCAAAAATATCTGGCAAAAGCGGTTCTTTTTATAATTTGGGAGAACTGCCCTTCGAAGAAAATAAGCAGGAACTAAAGCGACGTTTACGGAGCTCAAGCCGCTGATCCGACTACAAGAGGAAGAATGATGGAGGAGGAGGAGGAGGAGGAGGAGGATCAGCCTGGAAGTGTTTAGCTGCCGGTTCAAAGACTACAGCGGCGAGTGGAGGAGTGAATGGAGACGGAGAGACGGAGGGTGGAGGTGTGGGGGGGAGAAACAAGATGGAGAGGGACTGCCTGCACACACTGTCACTGCAGTTAATATAAGGTGTGCAGATAAGAGCCCGCAGACAAACATTGACCGAATCAGGCGTTTCAGCAGCGCCGGCCCGACTGTCAGTCAGCCTGAGAGACAGACCAACAATCAGCACTCTGCCTCTGATAAGGGCTCTACTGGGCGCGTGCAGGAAATAGCCAATCTGCAGCCGGCCTGGCAAGGAGGGTGATGGAGGAGGAGGAGGAGGAGGAGGAGGAGGGGGGGGAGGGCGGCGCGATGATGGAGAGCGAAGGGGTTAGAAGAGGGAGGGAATGCAGGGAGACAACAAGGGAGGGAAAGTGGCCCTATAAATTTAGAGAGAGAAATGTGGACCAAGAGTTCAGAGCAGAGGATAATACCCGAGAGGAGGAGGAGGAGGAGGAGGAAGAGGAGGAGGAAGCGGGATGATATTCCTCCACACCTCACAGAGGGCTCTCACCGAGGAAGACGTTCTGTGGGGAATATATTAAAAATAAAGAGGAGGAAGAAGGTGTGACATCGGCTCCTAAAATAGTGTTTCTTTTTGTCACTCGGGAGCCGCGTGTGCGCGTGCGTGCGTGTGCGTGCGTGTGCGTCGACATGCTTCAGACCAACACCTCACATTAACGATTCGCCGACAGCTTCCACGAGCTCATTATTCAGCCGCCGCTCGGCCTGCCTCGCGCACAATAGCATCATTTCATCGTCTCTATTGATTAATGGTGCATGTAGCGCGTGTGCGCGTGTGTGTGTGTGTGTACACACGCGTGTGCGTGTCCAGTGTGTGCGCAGCGTGTGAGTGAAGGATAACACTCCCCATCTAATGGAGCAGCCTGAACCAGCCATGAAATTCCCTCATAACAAAATAAACACATCCAAAAATGCTGGAGTGGATGCCTATGGAAATGCAAGGTGTGTGTGTGTGTGTGTGTGTGTGTGTGCGCGTGTGTGGTCGGTGGCTTGGACCCACACTGACCCCCGGAGGTCACATCAGGAACTGCAGCCGGTCGGTGGGATAAATTCCCGGCCGTTTACCTTTGTCAAACACGCTTAGTTTCCTCCCAGCAAACCGGGGGCCGTCAACAGCTGCAGAGGCTATTTATTTTTTTGCGGAAGTGGAGAGTCGGTGGGGGGGGGGGGGGGGGGTCCTTAATCTCACACACACACACACACACCACACCACACACACTGATAACAGCAGGAACGGAGCTAATCACGAGGGCCCCGTTTGTATTCTTGTTTGCGTTCGCACACGTCGATGTGCAGAGGCGGTGGGGGGGGAGGAGAAGTGAGGGGGGGCGTGCAACCCTCCCCTGGTCGCGTGCTGCTTTCTCCTGCTCCGTCAGGCCCCATTAAACCTGCTACACCACAGCGATAAGGTGCCATCAATTACAGGCCCGCTGCCGTCGGTGCAGAGAGGCAGCGGCTCGTAACCGGGACAAACGGCCGCATTAAATACAGAAATAAAGAAATAAAGGAAAAGGCCCCGCAGCCGCGTGGCAGCGTCACCTGAGAGCCGGACCATCCGTCTGTTTGTGAATGAGAGGACGCTTTGTTTCTCTCTCACACACACACACTTCCCATTCATGATAGCAGCAGAATGCTTGTTTTTTAAATAGAAGGGATGTTTGGTTGTTGGATATCAGCTGCCGTGTGCTTCTACCGCCCCCGTGTGGCGGCTGCTGCAGGCGGGAGCGTCACAAATGTGTTTTTTGAAAATATTCCTGACTTTTCCTCACAGCCGACGGGGCAGAAGAGAATAATACTTTTTATTTTTTATTTTTTTAAATCGATTTAAGCGTCTCAGCTGGAGTGAGATCGATAGCGGCGAGCACTCCGTCACAAAGCAACCCGCATTCCTCGCGGCGCTGATCATCCATCCAGCGAGGAGCCGGGACGCGACAGCCGCTCGCACGGAGCAGAAAGGAGAAGAAGCCGAGCGTCCGGAAAAGGCTGCAGAGAGTTTGAGGACGTCTTATTTCGTGTTCAATGCAGATGTTCAGTCTTTAGTGTGTCGTTACATGCTTTACGTGCGTGGAGGAAAAAAAGAGATGCAACTAAATACAAAAAAGGATCAAATCAGGAAGATAGTTATTGGATTTATTTAAGATGAATATATAAAAAAAGTTGCACACTGAATAAAGTAGAAAAATCTAAATAAGTTATGACATGTTGTTTTTCCTCCATTACAGAAAGTGGAATGTAGAACTTTGAAGGACGGAAGGACCTCACGCCGGACCAGATCTTATAAAAACTGCATCAAGCATGAAGTTAAAGGTATTAGAGGAACGTCCGTGGCTGCACTGCAAACAGGCACATGTTTCAGGATCAGCGGAACGAGTGTTTACATGTTTACATGCTGTGATCCATCCGCCGCCATCGTGTGGACGTAGAAGGCATCTTTTTTTGGGGGGGGGGAACTGAAAAGGTAAAGAAGAGCATGTATTTACAGACAGGGCGACGTCACGTTGAGTTTATCTGGGAGGAGGAGCTACTGCTGCCCGAGCTCTTGGTCTTCTGCCCCCTGGTGGCGCTGGGCTGCCGCTGCGCCCGCTGGCCGGAGGCCTCTCGGCTCCTCTCGCCGGGGGCCGCGGCGCCTTTGCTGCTGCGCACTGCGGACACGGAGGGAGGCGAAGACACGCGCAGAGATCAGACAACGGAGGAAATGCGTTTCACCAACGGATGAAACTAACTAATCAACAATTATTACCATTGTTGATTAGTTAGTGTGCAGCACAATGCAGAAGGATCATGAAAACATCTTCATATCCAGAAGTCCTAAATGTGTCCTCATCATCACCATCATCATCATCATCATCATGGAGGAGGGACGCCACTTTTAATCCACTAGACAGTCGGGATCTTTTTAAATTGATTCAAAATGATGTAAACACACACACACACACACACACAGTTTCCACATCACAGCATGCGGTGATGGTCCATGCACTGAGGGGTACACTGCCCCCCCCCCCCCCCCCTTTGAGTTGTGTAAAGAAAGGCAAGCAAGCAGACGGATGGAGGCGGAGGACAAAGAGCAGCAGGTGGGGGACCTTGAGAGTGAGGAGAACTAGCGTCTTGGGGGCCGTAGACCACAACCTTAGTGCCGACTCTGGGGGCTCTGGAGCCGGACGCCGGGGGGGCGGCTGCAGGCGGCTTAGGGCTCTTCCCAGAGAGCGAACAGTCCTCTTCTTCAGTAAACAGGAAGCACAGAAGACGGGATCCCAGGAGGACAGAAGAGGACATTAGAAAAAAGCAGCGAGACGTGCACAGAGTGAGGAGCGGCTATCGTGATCCTCGGGGGGGCGAGAGCATCGACTACAGCGCGCTCGGTACTTAGGAGACGGAATGCAAACGTCTCGCATGCTTGGAAAGAGAAGTGAGGAGAGAAGAAGAGCGAAAGGTGAGCGCGGGAAAAGAAATAAACCACTTTAAAAAAACTCGTATTGCTTTTTCTACACGCAGGAACTTCATCGACCTCGAGTTCTTTTCACTCTGCAGGAAAAAAGGATCCGCGGACAGAACACCAAAGCACTAAATATGGTGGTTCTTGAGACTTTGCCCTTTACCCCCATAAAATGAAGATAATTTGTTGGACCAATTAATGCAAATGTTACTTTTCTTTACCGATGAGATAAAACCAGTCTCCACCCAGCAAACATTTCCCCTTCGTTGTGGCAGAAAGCGGCTCACCTGAGGAGCAGGTGACCTACGCTCACGTCGGATTCTGCAGACACTGACCTCTGACCTCGGCGGGCGCCGTGGCGATGCCGGCGGCGGTTGAAGACTCCCCGAAGCCTTCAGCGAGCCTCTGGCCCGCGCACATGGCCTTCAGGGTCTGGAAGACCGCCTGGGGAGCCACGTTCATCTTTAACAGGTCCACGATGATCCTGACGAGACAAGAAGGGGACAAGCATGTGAGAGCAGTGTCCGTCCGGCGTGGCTCCAGGTCCTCTGGTGGGGGACGCGAGCCTTACTTGAAGACCTCCTGGTCCACAGTGATGCCCGCGGCCTGGGTGAGCTCGAACAGCTCTGCTTCTTCAGCGCTCAGGACCTTCTTCTTCTTGATGGCGTACTTCTGCACGTTGCTGGTGACCAGGAGCGCGGGGGAGTCCGGGCCGGAGGGCAACGAGGGTTGCGGTTGTTGAGACATCAGCGGGCGGGTACCGGAGCTGGAGGCGGATGAAGGACAACAAATATGGTGGAAATGAAAATATGGCAAAGACGAGCTCACGAAGGCTGCGGATTCACGCGCCCGAGAATGAAAATATGGTTTCAAATATTACAAAAACGTCGAGAACAACAATCTTAGGCCAAATATTAAACAACTACTTACCGTTAAATTAGCGCAGACGAGTCAGTCTCATTCGGCACTGCGGTCCTGTCTCGCTAACGTTAGCGCCGAGGCGAGGCGCGCAGTAATGACGTCATATTAGAAAAAACGGCGTTGTCCTCCGGTACTTGTCAGCATAATACTATTTGTTCGGTGTATTTAGAAGAAATAACCAAATTATTATTTTATTTCATTAGTGGTGGGAAAAATATTTCCATCGGAGTCAGCTAAATAGTTGTTTGACTGTTTGACGCATGCGCAGTATAGCAGGATGTGAAATGCAAGTTTCTACCAAGTGACAACATGTGTGTTGATTACTGGCCTCACGCGGGAAAGAATATTTATTTTCACCTATTACTGGTCACTGTGTTGTGTTCTTACGGGAAAACAGAAGGTTAAAAAAAGGAGAAATAGCGTCCTCGTTTGCTTATGTGGCTCACCGAGCGAAACCGGAAGTGCTCGCGGGATTCTCCTCTCGCGCCGCGCAGATCTCTGCGCTGTCGACCCAGAATGGCCGCTGCCGCAGCAGGAGTAAACAAGCAGGGCGCCGTGGCGACGATGGAGCCCTGCATCCGACACGGGAGGGGACCTCACGGCAGCACGGTGAAGGTCATTTATATTGTCACTAATTGCCAGACGTACGCTAGACTTGGTTTGTTCGCGAGGAAGAATCGACAGCAGCCTCTTCTTCGTGGCTTCTGATTTTGGGTGAAAGCTGCTGCGTTGGTTGGTTGGGGGGGCGCATGTATGCAGACCATTTATGCAAACGGTCCGCTGGCATCTATAAGAGCTCCGTGTAGATGTATTGCAAACGTATTTTCCGATTAGCTTTAGTTACATTTGTGCAAAACCGTCTCCTCTTTGTGCGCGCAGCCTGCTACCGGTTAGCTAGGCTCACTGCGTCTGTGTGGCGGTGACGTAATGCGCATCCTGCGTGCAAGTTGGAATCCCCTCGACCGATGTCAACATAGCGTTTGTTCTTATAAATCACCACGGGCAATGATGCGGGATGCTAAGGCTCAATGTGGCTGATTCCCAGTAGCTCCTCTACTAATTATCTATTTTTTTTCCTCTCATTGAAAACTCTCCATCCTCTGTGCACCAGCTGGAAGATCATCCAATAATTGTGTGTGTGTGTGTGTGTGTGTGTGTGAGTGTGTGTGTGTGTGTGTGTGTGTGTGTGTGTGTGTGTGTGTGTGTGTTCACCTACAGGTGCTGGAGTGCGGTGTGTGTGAGGACGTCTTCTCTCTCCAGGGGGACAAGGTTCCTCGCCTCCTGCTCTGCGGTCACACCGTGTGCCACGACTGTCTCACCCGGCTGCCCCTCCACGGCCGGGCGGTGCGCTGCCCCTTCGACAGACAGGTCACCGAGCTGGGTGAGTTCAAAGGGCCTACGTTACCGCGGTTACGCTGGGGGAAAAAAGTGTTTTCTCCGATACGAGGTTTGAACTCTTCTCACCTTTTTTAATTACTTTTTGTACGCCTCTGTGAAGGGGATTCTGGAGTTTGGGGTCTGAAGAAGAACTTCGCTCTGCTTGAGCTCCTGGAGCGACTCCAGAACGGAGCGACCAACCAGTCGGGGATGGCGGAGGGCTACCTGAAGGGCGTGGGAGAAGTAAGCCCGCCGCCGGTCATCCCGCGGACGCGTCCCGGTACCTCACACTAATCGCCCCCTTCTCCCGACTAGTGTATAATCCGCTGCGACGAGGACGAGAGCCACACGGCCTCCATGTACTGCACCGTGTGCGCCACCCACCTGTGCGCCGAGTGCTCCCAGCTCACCCACTCCACCCGCACGCTGGCCAAGCACCGCCGCGTGCCGCTGGCCGACAAGCCGCACGAGAAGACGCTGTGCCCGCAGCACCAGGTCCACGCCATCGAGTTCGTCTGCCTGGAGGAGGCGTGCCAGTCGGGCCCCCTCATGTGCTGCGTGTGCAAGGAGTACGGCAAGCACCAGGGTCACAAGGTAGCCGGAGCCGCGCGTTAGAGGTGCCTCGCCCGGAGAGGACGAGCGCTCGTCTTCCTTTCTCTTCATTTCCTTCTTTTCCTTCAGCACGCCGTTCTGGAGACCGAGGCGAACCAGATCCGCGCCTCCATCCTGGACATGGCCCACTGCATCCGCACCTTCACGGACGAAGTGTCCGAGTACTCCAGGAAGCTGGTGGGCATCGTGCAGCAGATAGAAGGCGGAGAGCAGATCGTGGAGGACGGCGTCGGCGTGGCGCACACGGAGCACGTGAGGCTTTTTCGTCTGAAACGGGAGCGCTCGCGTCCCTTTCGGCTGTTGACGTCCTCCCCGCCGTCCCCTCCAGCAGGTCCCCGGCAAGGCGGAGAGCGCCCGGTCCTGCGTGCGAGCGTACTTCGCGGACCTCCACGAGACCCTGTGCCGGCAGGAGGAGATGGCGCTGAGCGTGGTGGACGCTCACGTCCGGGAGCGCCTCATCTGGCTGAGGCAGCAGCAGGAGGACATGACCATCCTGCTGTCGCAGGTCTCCACCGCCTGCATGCACTGCGAGAAAACCCTGCAGCAGGTAGGAGGCGGCACGCTCCTCCACCCTCGGGCCGACGCACGAGCGGTACGGTGATGCGTGTGCGTGTGCCGTGTGAGGACGACTGCAGGGTCGTGTTGGCCAAGCAGGAGATCAACTGTCTGCTGGAGACTCTGCAGAAGCAGCAGCACCAGTTCACGGAGCTGGCGGATCACATCCAGCTGGACGCCGGCATCCCCGTCACCTTCACCAAAGTAAGCCCCCCCCGCCACTCCCCACTCCTCCATCCACCTCCACCCGGCCCAGTATGTAACAAGGTGCTCTTGCTCCAGGACAACCGGGTCCACATCGGGCCGAAGATGGAGATCCGCGTGGTGACCCTCGGGCTGGACGGAGCGGGCAAAACCACCATCCTCTTCAAGCTGAAGCAGGACGAGTTCATGCAGCCGATCCCGACCATCGGTGACGCCGCGCATCATCGACCACCGCCCGGCCGCTGCAGAAGCGCCGAATGACGTTCTGAATGTTTTCTTTTTCTTTTTTAAAAAGGTTTCAACGTGGAGACCGTCGAATACAAGAATTTGAAATTCACCATCTGGGACGTCGGTGGGAAACATAAGCTCCGGCCCCTCTGGAAGCACTACTACCTGAACACGCAAGGTACGCGCTGCGCTTCACGCCCGCGTGACCCCTTTCTAGCGGCGCCGGCTGGAGGTTAAGGTTTGTCTTGGTTCTGTGCAGCGGTGGTGTTTGTGATTGACAGCTGCCACCGGGACCGGCTGATGGAGGCTCACAGCGAGCTCGCCAAACTGCTGACGGAGAAGGAGCTGAGAGACGCCTTGCTGCTCATCTTTGCCAACAAACAGGTGCTGGCAAAAACAAAGCAGTCGTGCGCCTCCATGTTCCCCCCCCCCGGTCCCGCCCCCCCCGGTCCCGCCTGGTTGCTGAGCGGCCTCTTCTTTTGCGTCCGCAGGACGTCCCCGGCGTGGTGTCGGTGGAGGAGATGACGGAGCTGCTGAGCCTCCACAAGCTGTGCTGCGGGCGGAGCTGGCACATCCAGGGCTGCGACGCCCGCAGCGGGGTGGGCCTCCACGAGGGGCTGGACTGGCTCTCCAGGCAGCTGGTGGCGGCCGGCGTGCTGGACGTCGCCTAACAGGAAATAGATCGGGAAGCGACTCCGCCGCCGCCGAGCTTCACCCGCTTCCCCTCATTAGACACCGTCGACTCAATGTGGGCGAAGACAACAAAGCTGTAAATACTACCTGCAACTTCACCGAATCCAAGAATAAAAGTTAATGACCTCCTGAGAAATAAACCATGTGTCGAGTCCTCAGCTTCTCCAGCCGCTCGGCGTGCTGTGAGCATCACGTCTGAAGTTGTCTTTTCTTTTGTGAACCTATTTAAAGCCACAGCAGAGCTTCTGTTACAGAACGGGACGTTTACTGACTGTATTTCTGGCGGGGCGGAGGCGGGGCTTCCAGACCAGGCTGTGCAAAACAAGTTTTTTTTCTTTTTTTTATTACACCGATTCTGCCTGTTTGTGGGCGGAGCCTCCGGGCCGCTGCCCCTCTGGGTTTTCGTGTTTGGGGGATTTAATCCGCTGACGTCCGGTTGCTTTGAGACGTCGACGGACATCAGTAATTATTTAACGTGAAACTTTAAGCAGAAACACTGACTCGGTCTTGTTATTAAGGGACCCGTTATTTGACATTTAGTTCCTCTATTTGCATTGCTGTGTAATGTTTACTATGTTTAAAAATACTAATAAAAATAATGCACATGTAAAAAGCATTTCCACATAGTTGGTGTAACTTTTGATTTTTCAACGTAGAAGCACAAACGCGCATCGAGACCTTTGTTACCCGCAGCTTTTTGTAATTTATTCGTAAAGTTGTTGCTGTAAAATAAACCAACTGACCACATTCCTCCGGCTGCTTCGTCGTCTTCTTCTTCTTCAGATTATCAAAGCGAAATCTCGAAATAAATCTCAGTAAAAAGGTTTCGCTCCAAACATTCTTTAATAACTCAATCTGGTAGAAAAACAAAAAGGAATCACTGTACAGGACGCGAGGAGGACGTGCGATCACTTGACGGTGATGTTGATGATGCTGATGTCCTCGTACGGTTTGTCCGTCTTGGGGTTGACTTTGAGGTTGGAGATCCTCTGCACCGCCTCCATGCCCTTGGTGCACCGCCCAAACACCGTGTGCTTGTTGTCCAGCCACGGCTGAGGGACACAACACGACCGCACGTTAGTCTCTTTACACGCAGAGAGGACGTTAGGGGGCGGAGTCAAGAGGGGCCGAGACAAATGGGAAAGTGAACGTTGGTCTTTACTGGTCTCCATTGGGAAGCGTGACTCCGATTGCTGATACTGTAAATTAAGCGATAACATGATTCTCTCGCACGCTCGCACGCACGCACGCACGCACGCACGCACGCGCACGCGCACACACACACACACACACACACACACACACACACACACACACACACACACACACACACACACACACACACACACACACACACACACACACGTTCGCTTACCGTCGGCACCACGGTGACAAAGAACTGGGAGCCGTTGGTGCCGGGGCCCCCGTTGGCCATGCTGAGCGTGTACGGGCGGTCGTGCCTCAGCGTGGCGTGGAATTCGTCCTCGAACTCGCCCCCCCAGATGCTCTCGCCCCCCATGCCCGTCCCCGTGGGATCGCCCGTATGGTTCATGAAGCCCTGCGCGGTGGGGTGACAAAAGAAAAGGTTCAGAGGCGGCTGGGAGCGCAGGTCGCGGGGGGGGGGGGTTGGTTGAGGAGGTCGAGGGGTCGCACCTTGATGACCCGGTGGAATATGTGGCCGTTGAAGTAGCCGTTCCTGCTGTGGACGCAGAAGTTCTCCACCGTTTTGGGGCACCTGAAAGAAACCAGAGAGCACAGGCGCGTTGGTGTCTAGTGACCCCCCCAGCAGGGGGCGGGACGCTGCGCGGGACGTACTCTACGGGGAACAGCTTGATGTGGATGTCCCCCATGGTGGTGTGGATGATGGCGCTGTCGGACACTCTCTTGGGGCCCTCGGCCTGCGTGGCGGCCATCACCTCCTCCTTGGAGGGCTTCTCGTTGAAGATGTCTCTGTCCGAGTCGGCGCTCTTCGTGTCCTCGGGTTCTCTCTTTGAGAACTTAGAAGGGGAAAAAAAAAACAGAACGGTGAGGACTGTGGAGGAGGTTAACCTTTGACCCCGATCAGATTCCGTTAGTAAAAAGAAAAACTCTGAAGACATCGGGATCGGGTCCCTCACCATGTAGAAGCGGTTCTTCTTGAAGGCGGTGCAGAAGATGGTGGGGTCCTGCTCCATGTTGTCTAGGGCGGGGTTGTCGGAGGCCTTCATCTCCACGGTGGGAGCCACCTGCGAGGCCTTCGCGACCCCCTGGAAGAGGCCCAGCTGCACCACGCGGATGTTCTCCAGCTTGCCGAGGATCCGCACACACCTGTGGGAACGTTCACCCCACGTTTAGAATCAACCAGAAGCTCCGCGGCGACAGGAAGGTCACAGCCTGCCGGGCGGAGCTGCACAGCGAATCCAACGCCGGTCACGCTGGGTGATCGAGATCTCACGATCGATCCAAATAATTAAGTTCAATTAACGAGCACCGGCGCCCGGAGGTCCCGTCAGCGTACCGGTTGGTCTCCACGTTGATGACCTTGATGCCCAGCATGGTCCCGTAGAGCACGAAGTGGCCGGTCTCGTCGAAGATGATGTTGGTGAGTCGGATGCCGTCCACCTTCTCCAGCTCTCTCTCCACAGCCATCCGCCTCCCGAACTCCATGTCGGGCAGCTGCTGCCTCATCTGCTGCAGCTCTGTGAACATCTGGAGGAGGAGGCAGTTGTATGTTGCATGAAAGCTGATAAGAGACATTAAGAGTTACATTCTGATTACTATTATTCAGTTTATTCCCATTTATCTAAATGCTGTTTGTTAATGAAACACTTTTTTTATTTTATTTTTACAAACATTACACACAGAAATAAAAACTATGAAATCAGACAAACTATCAAATATTGAAATGTTGTAAAGATACTTTAGTAATTATTTACTAAGCATTTAACAAGGTGATGATTTAACAAAGATGGTTAAAACTTTAAAAAAAGCACCCAAAAGTGCTTATAGACTATTTACAGACTAGTTATTAACCATTTAACAAAAAGCTGTGGACTTATTATCTACAGATTAAAATGTATTAAAAGCCATTAACAAATGACACTATTATAATATGTAAAATGCTATGAGTGCTACATTATAATGATGATTATTAATAATTGTTAATAGTAAAATAACAATAACTACGTTTTAACTGAGCGTCACGTTACTCTTTGACAATGTGCATTACTATTTAACGATGTACATTACTATTTGACAATGTACATTACTATTTAACAATGTACATTACTATTTAACAATGTATGGCGTTATCCGCGTGCGCGGCAGAACTCACAGTTAACGATTCATCGAACACTCTCATCAGTTTCCCCGTCAGGAAGCGGAAGATCCGGACCTTCCTGTCCGAAGCGATCGTGGCCATTTTCTTCCCGTCGGAGGAGAAGGTGAGGCTGGTCGGGTACGTTTTGTGCTTCACGAACTCATACAAGTCCGTGCCCGTTTTGTATTCCCACTGCACGTACTTGGGGAACCGGAAATCGTTGCGGAGGCCGGTCCAGTACTCCAGCATCCCCGCTTTGTCGGCGGAGACGATGACCCGGAATTTGGGGTTGAGGCGGATCTGGGCCAGCGGCGAGGAGTGCATCTTGTCGAAGACGTGCAGCGGCTGGTTGCTCCCCCGGCCGTCGTAGACGAAGATCTTCCCCGTGGATTTCTCCGAGCACGCCACCGTGGAAATGGGATCCCCGGGGTTGTAGATCCACTCGGACTGGCCCGGGTGGAAGCTGAATCAGAGGAGAGGTTAAAAAAAACACACCTCTCTAAACTAAGTAAACACAACAACTTTGACACAACAACTCACCCCAACTTCAGCATGTTGATCATGTCAAAGTTGACAACGTCGAATACTTTCATGGCCTGGTCATCGCCGACAGAACAGAGGAGAGCTCCTTCAGCGCTGACCGCAATGCTTTCGATCACACCTGCAGACAACAGCGAACAGCCGAGTCAGCCGAGCGACTCGTGTTTGGAGCAGCTCGGTGCTTCTTTCTCCTGCCAGGGACACGTGTTCAGGAAGAGGAGGTGCGGTGGGAGCGTACCGAGGTGGCTGCGAAAGTGCTTGACGAACTCTATCCCGTGGTCCTCCTTCTTCTTCCAAAACTTGATGTGGCCATCTTGGCTGGATGTGATGATGAAGTCCGTCCTGAACAGAGGAGAAAGAACCGAAAGAACCTCAGATTAACAACAAACTGCTGTCTCTTCTGGGTGATCGTTGGCTGTGATTAATGAAACAGGGAGATCTCTGGAACATGGCAGCTGCACAAAGGCACACAAGACATTTACTCACTTGGAACAGACGATCTGTGTGATGACGTCTCTGTGCATGTAGCTCCGCTCATACATCGCGGCCGAGGGGAGGTTCTCCAGATAAACGCGCTCATATTCGAGCACTGAGGGAAAACAACAAAACAACCACAGTTAGCAGCTGGAGCTTTGTTAGCATCGTTAGCATCGTTCAGCAGGAGACACAGAGGAAACAAACAGACGCAGAAGTATCGAACCGGCGGACACGAACCTTTTCTTTTTTTGGCCGTGGAAGCCTCGTTTGGCAGCGGTCCGACCCACTCGTCCTCTTCCGCGTCACCTTCTTCATCCGGCTCGTCCTCGGCTTTTCGCTTAAGTTCCACATTTTTTTCAGCCTCCGCCATTGCTGCAAATCTCCCCCGTGTCCGTTCGGGATTTCGGTACTTCCGTTTGGTTCGCAACTTGACTTGTGAAATATTTCTACTCCTTCACTCCTTCATATGCTTCCATATTTTATAACTATGTATTCTGTTTTTTTATTGTCATTAAAATAAAAATGTTATTAGGATGTTACCGCGATATAAACAAAACGGCAGCAACGTCCACGGCGTATTTATCACGGTTTAAACATACATTAGTGCTGCTTCAAAAACAATACTCTTGTGAGTTTTCACATTCATGTTTTATCACATTCGTGTCATATTTTAACGTTTCAGCTTGAAGTATTTCAAATGCAGTGGAACTAAAGCGTTCGTGTGTTTCTGGGGGTTGTTGTCATGGGACACCTGGGTCAAACCAAAATTCGATATTAGGGGTGTACCCAAATATGCTTCGGATTGATTTGTCACTACTACATATATTATATATTCACATTCGTTTATTAATTAATGAATCTTGATATAAATAACAACGTTTGTGATTTAGATGGCAGTTAATTAATAAATGAATAAATAACTAATGTATTTATAAACGATCCTCCCCAGCCACTCTGAAGTAAACAATAAGCTCACATGGACGCCAATATGGCTTCAGTTGAGAAGTATAATATTACTCAGTAAGAAAGCGAGGGATACAAACACAATAAGTCGGTCCACAGAACTGTTTGTTATATTTCCAAGTATCAAGTGTTCGACAAAACCTCTGCGGCAGAATGAGTAATATTTACATCCAAGAACCTCCATCGAACGGAAAGGTGAGCGCGACTTTCTCCTGTTTTCACCTCGAATGTTTGCTTTAATGCGCAAACCACACACCTCATTCATAGTTTACTTCTATACTCCAAACGTTAACCATCTATAAATGCGTACTTCGTATCGGATAAAATGGCGGAGCCGTAGCGCATTTCACTCGCTGTGTAAATGCGTGAATATAGTTCTTGTTTCTTATTCAACCGCCCGGATGTGTGTTCTTGCCTCAGGTGCTGCTGAAGACCTCGGCGGGCGACATTGACATCGAGCTGTGGTCCA